TTATTTCAGACATATATTACAAATGTCAGGGCTTTGGAGTAGTAGGATGTAGTAAATGGAAGGATTCGACAATATTTTCTGATACAATATTTTAGCTTCATATAATATGACTTTCGTCACTGTATCTCCTTATAACCATCTAACTAATACCTACCTACATTAGTAGTTGTCGTTGCCCAAACTATCAAGTACAAAAGGAAAAAATATATAGACAGATTATTTAATTCCACTCGCGTACATTTTTATTCTTGTAAATTTTCTTGTATAAAATTAATTGCTTAGTGGTTATAACATGATTATGAAAATTTACTTATCTTATTACTTCATTTAGTGTATCTAAAATGAACAGGATCGGAATAAATTTCAGAAAAGATATTAACATTTTCTTACCATATCGATTTGAAAGAGAAATGGTTTAGTTTACACTGTTTACATTACCAACAATTTAAACGCTTCTGCCCACTAATGTCTTATCTTTGTTATTTGCTGTATGTAGCCTAATCGGTGTCGTTCACAATCGGGTCTGTTGAAACCTTCCAACTGAGTCAAAGCCAGTAAATAGTAATTATTTATTTCAATGTTAATTTAGGTGTGATAAACGTGTGTTTATTATTGATTCTAAGATTAACCCTAATATTTTATTAGAACTTTAACTGCATCATTTTATTCCCAATTCTGGGCTTTGGCCTCATCTGCAAAGAAGTCTGATAAAACTATTTTCATTAGTAGAATAAGTAATTTTCTTGCAATTTTGGCTTAAGAAATTGTGCACGAATATAATCTAACTGCACCTATTAGCAGGCCCGAATTTAAATCCTGCGGATTAAAAACTTCTTAACATGACCCACCCTATATAAGTAATACCTAAATATTTACTACAGGATAGAACAATAATTATTTTATGTGGTAGGTACTAGGTATACTGGTACCTTTACCAGGTACGTTTACAGAAACGTTATAACTAATTTTTAACTTCCTACTAACGAAACTCACTGGCTACTAAAAATCCATGGCAAATGTCTTATCGGCATACCTAACTGAAACGGCAAAACGAGCGTTTAACTGTATAAACGTTGCAATATTTTTTATTAAGCCACGCTACTATCGCAGAACAGACTTCTGCATTCTAATTGAATTGAAAATTTTAATATCTTTCGGAAAATTATAGTGCGGCATTTAAGTCCCTCCTGATTCCGAAAATATTGTTGATAGGTATAACTTTAGGTATTGGTATTGTTTTCTTGTGTATGTTTTCGCTTGATTTTGTTTACTTTATTAACTTATTTGGTTTGGCCATTTGTTGTTTGGTTTTAATTTAAATGCATGTCGATTGTCGGTGTAGAGTAAGGATATTGTTAATGAGTGTCAAGTCTAATATAACAATATTATATTGTAATCGAGTATTTTTCGAAAACATCGCATACTTATTATCCCAAAAAGTCAATTTCAAGAAATGTGGCATAGTTATTTACACGTTTTCCATAATTTGTATACCTAATTGCATAATGAGATACATTGTAAAGATTAGGGTTTACCTGTCCGATCAAATGTAAGATGTCGATCTGCTTAAAGTAGCACCTCATGTAATCGTTTTGCACAGGCTGTTTCAAATTTGTTTCAATAAGATATTATTGCAGTCTAGGCACTCCCCAACTCCCCCTTTGAAGTGCAACAATGTAATTTTAATTTACGTAATCGAACATTCACTTAGCAAAACCATTTGAACATTATGCCCCATCCATACGATTGATGTTTGCCACGAATACCAAACACAACTAATAAAGTTCCAAACATCGATGTGTGGCAGGCGTGTGTATACTTCGCTGTTTGCCGAACAGCCCTTGATCTGTATTTATATTCGCCTGTTTGTGTTCGCCACTGTTCGACACTGATGCCGAACAGTGGTGAACACAAACAGGAACAGCTATACATAAAACACTCATTCACATGTAGGTGTCTGCTGTTTGGTGTTTGCCATTGTTTGCCAAGCGTATGGACGAGGCTTTATAACAATTTTATAACAGACTATTGAAATATTTTTTTTAATTTGAAACATCGTAAATCGTTAGATGTTCACATTTGCCATAATAAAATGTCAATTAATTGAAGAGATATATCTATGCAAAAAAATAAATTGTATCACGGTCATTTGAAAACTTGAATCCTTAATTAAAAATGCATATGTATGTACATAAACTTTAATTATTTATACGTCTCAGGCCCTGCAAGTCGAGGCATGATTATTTATAATTACGATATGGTACCTATTAGCAAACGACTACGATTTTTTAAAATGGCTGTAACTCTAGATCATTAAAAATATGAGAAGACCTAAAGGTTGGGTCTACCTATGTACATTCAATAAAACAAATAATAATTCATAATTATTACGATTATTCATTCTATTAAATTTATATGTACCTAGGTACTTTTTTACTGGCTATAGAAACGATAAAGGACATTGCCTTATGAATGAGAGGTTTTAATATTAGTTAATTACAGTTGTACGGAAATTCTCTATGTCATCATGTTTGTAAATAACATCAAGAGAAATCAGCCCTAGACTGCAGCCGTATTCTTATTTCTCAATAAAATATTTTAAAGGTATTTTGTTAATTAATGGACTACCCTCAAATAATAATTGCTACAAACTGTGCAATACATTCGGGTACTTAATCCTATAATATTTTTAGAATAATCGTGTTTTTTTCTTTTTAAAATGAGAACATAATAGGTGCATTAGACAATAAGCAACAGAAACAAGGGTGTAGCCAGCAGTTAATAAATAAATAATTTCAGATCTTTTCACTTCCACAATACACGGCTTTTAGTGCATTGCCAAAATGTAACAAGCAATGACAGGCTAACGTGGTACCTAAAATCTGAATTAATTATTTACACGCGAAGTCTTGGAAAGTGGGCAGAGATTTGGTCCATTATTTGTACAAGTACCTACCCATATTTGAGTAATATCTATAAAAATCTGTTATTATAAAAAAAAAATTATTAATGAAAATGTATTTGTGCTTTGAAATTGACAACGTACTAATGGGTTTATTGTATGTGAAAAATACGGTTATAGGTACTCTTTCTGATTTGATGAGATGAACATAGCATTCATTAACACTGTACTGATTTTGAAAACTGTAATGAATTGTACTTGTCTATAAATAGTTAAAGTCAAAGTATATCTACCTACACTACAGCAAGTAAGGGTATACAAGTTACATATTTTGAGGTGCTTCGCGTCATGGCTCTTGCGTGGTACATGTGCGAGAATTAAAGATAAGCATGTGAATTGATTGCAATGAATTTCCTTGTAAAGTAGTATAATTGTCTATTTATTATATTGAGTGCACTGGTGTTGAAAACAATGTGAGTAATGATTTATTTGTAGTAACTAGTATCGTGTGACGACGTGGTTTTGCGTGGTTTCGTTAGCGCCATATGTGATCAAGGTCTAACCTGTCCATAATTTTATTATATTCGAACTAAGCATAACTTATTTTAATTGAGGAATGAAGTTTATTGAACAGGGAAATATTTGAAAATGTTGGATAAGGAAAGATAAAAAAAATGTACCTTACATTTGCTGCGGTAAATTGCAATTTGCAATGCTTATTTTTATAGTTAGTGAAAATATATTTAGATAATGGCGCTGATTTTCTTTGAGCACGTTTTAACACTAGGTACCTGATGTTGGAATGTTTATTATTGATGACTGCAGTTTATAAGTGTGTGAAGGATTTTGGTTAAGTTCTACACTTCTGCCGCATCGTTTACATTTGATAGCGCTTGATTAATGAGATCCCAAATTAGCTTCTTATGAGTCATAATACAAATCTATGAAATATAGATACTACAAAATTAGAATGAATTAAGTATCAAAAAAAGTTAAGTTTGTGCGTTTCCTTAATTGTCACCTAAAAACGAAATTCAAATTGAAGAAGCCTTCAAATTAAATGTGAGACCTTCCTGAAGCGGCGCCATTGTCTCTCCGAATAGGACTGTCCGTCGAGGCCAAAGGTCAGGGACACATTACTTCTCTTTTTACTTTTCCATTCAATTTTTGGTGCGACTCAATCAGGTTTCTTTTTTAATGCCATGACGTTGAACCAGCTGCGAAAAGTACCTAATGCTTAAATATATTACGTAATTTTGTAAACACAATTTACGCACCTGTAATTTAATTGAACATGCACATCCTTGTTATTTGCTGCTCCGTGATATAAAATTCTACTAATGCTAGACAGATTCAATGTTATTAAGTATAAGCTGTACATTATAATTTGAGTGTGAAACCTATTGACATGAAAATAAAATTTATTTAGCGTTGCAATTTTGTTTTATTGTACAAACCCTATACTTACCATCCCATATGATAATAGTTTAGCGTGCCATTCAAGAGGCTTATCTATACCTACATATAATAAAACCGTAGAAGTGTAAATTCTGTACATTGAAAATATGACAATAATAAATAGTGGGGGCTGTTACTAGATATAGACACCGAAACCAAAAATGATATTAAAAAAATTGTCTGTCTGTCTGGAAGTACACGCATCACACAAAAACTACGGGTCCAATTGCGATGAAACTAGGTATCTATGGTTATACTTTATCCTGGGCACAACAGTAGACACAGTTACTGTACCATACGCAAATATAAGTTTGTCGAATGTTAGGTTGCCCGCAGTGAAATTTACCTATGCTGTAACTGTAGGGCCGATGGTTGAAATTAGGTTGAACCGATATTATAAATGTGAAAATATGTGAGTTTGTGTGAATTTTTATTATCCAGTTATATCAAAACGGCTGAAGGGCCCGGAATGAAATTGGAAACAAAGATAGATTATGGTCTGGAGTAACACATAAACTACTTTTTACCCCTGGGAACGCGCGCGAAACCATTGGCAGAAGCTAGTTTCCAATAATGAACCTCGAAATTATGACGATAAGAAGAAGAACCCTTTAAAATATTAAGAGAAGTATAAGTCATTGGTATCTACAGTTACTTACGAAGTAGTACCTACGTGTTAACTAACACTTACCTAAATACGATTTACTGGTGATAATATTTTATCTGAATCCAATGTTATTTTTAATCACAAATAGCGTTTCGTACAAACGGTAGGTACCTGTAATCAAAGAAAACAAGCCCACATGCTTCGCCACAGTCTGCAGTAAACTTTTTTGGCGTAGCGGCACATAACACTTTTTTTCTAGTTCTCTTAAAAACATACTTAAGTACCTACCTATTACTCCCAGACCCAAAACAACGATTTATGGATCACTACATATACATTTTCCATGCGGGAAACCACGTCATGTAACCAATGGGCATTCGTCCATTGGTCGACTATCAAGTCTTGGGTTTACTGGGCAAAGTACCTTAAGATTCGAAAGTCTTATAAGGGCCCTGAAATATGAGTACGACCAGGTTAAAGGTAGTGTTGCCTCTTGTTACATAAAGTTCGGCTTAATATTAAGAGATTACGTAGTAGTTACCATTAACAAAATTTTTGAGGTGGGTAGCTAGAGTCCTGCCTACCCTCCTCTAAAACGAAATTATGTTATTCATGCATTGCGTTCTTAACTTACTACCATAAATAGGCACCTACTATTTTTATTTCTCTGTCTCATCCACACTTTCTCCCTAAATAAATCCTGTAAATACAGTAATATAATATGCGTGAGTTGTACAAATTAACCACTATCTCGAAGATACAACATAACGTCCATATAAAAGGTAAAAAGTTTTAATAACAATTAGGCATAGTAAATTGCGCAAACAAGAATACTCTGTAACTTTGTGGAAAAAGAACAATGACAACTAATCAAAATTGTTATTGTACTTGATAATTTTAAAATTCTTAATATACAATGTGCTCTCTCTGCAGTCATGGACCCTCAGAGGACAACATTAGCTGGTCCTCTGCCTGCTAGCAGTAGGCAGGCAGCACGAAAAAGTTTCGCAATAACAAACACTTATATCAAAAGTACTAAAAAAGAAATTGTTAGTGTCCACACCAGCACTCCTACTGTAGAAAATTTATCTTTTCAAATTGAACAAAATCAAATTTACCAAGGAGACGTGAACATTCTTTCAATTATGTAAGTTTAATCTATGTATAGGATTATGGGTAATTATTATGATTAATAACATACATATCTGGTGAAAAGTAGGAATAGCTACCTAATCTACTTCATGCCCTTTGAATAGTAAGACAAGATGCCATATCTACCATCTATTACACCGTACTTGGGTATAAGCGACTATAATATTTATTTCGACTTATTTCAGTGATACAAATAAAGATATAATGTGCTGTAAATATACGGAAGATGTAAATGAGATAGCAGCAGGATTCAACGACGGCACTATGAGAGTGTTTAGTTGCAATACTGGACATTGTATCCACACTCTGGTAGATGAAGAAACTCGCGCATATCCTGGACCAGTAACAGCCATCAAACATAGACCAGTTAGCAAAGCAAACCCCATTACTAACATGTTGTTATCTTCTTGTTAGTATTACTTTATTCAAACCATATTCAAAGCCCAAGTCCTAAGTCTTATCAATTATTCCTATTGTCATTATTTGTCTTTAGATGTAAATGGATGTATCAAATGTTGGAAATACAAATATGACCAATGTTTATATACCATTCGGGAGAAACGCCAAACATTGGGATTAAATTACCATCCACGTCACAGTAAATTTGTCACTTACGGCGATGATGCCAAGTTGAACATGTATGATGAAGAAGCTCAGACCCAAGAACGTGCTTTTTACTCTAGGTAAATTAAGTAACACTCATTTCTCTTCTAGATTGTAAGTAGGTATGTATATCAAAAATTTATTTTACCCATCAATAGTACGTAATCGTGACACTCTTATTTCGAAAGTTATAAAAAGTGTCCTATAGGCTTTACACTGCTATGTGAACTTCGTAAATCGAAATACGATCATAAATTGCCAAGGTCTGAAATCAAACCATAGACGAAAATTCACTGGTAGCATAATTTTACCTGTGGTTTTACCGCCTGATAACAGCATACGCATTAATGTGGTACCTTTTTATCTAAACACCAGTCATTAATTCGCAGTAACCAGAAGAATAAAGTGGATGGCCATACATCAAGAATATTTGCATGTGCATTCAACCCAAGGTCGCAACATGAGATGATATCTGGAGGCTGGGATGACACAGTCATGTGTTGGGACGACAGACAACCTTATGCTACTCGTTATTTTGTTGGTGTCCACATGTGCGGAGAAGGTCTTGATTTTGACAAACCTGGACGAACAGTGAGTGCTTGTAAATCGTTCAGTCTCATTGAAAACATAATTTCCAAACAAGAAACAACATTAATTCTGTTGAGAAAATAATGTATCTAATATATATATAAAACCCCGATAAGGCATACAATAACGACTTCTATGTACTATCGACGAAGTTCGAAATTTACTCATTCGAAATTATACTTTCCGACGTGTGAATGTGATGTGATTCATGAGCAATAAACTATGAATAAAAATACAAATTCCTAGTCACGACTACAACATAATGATCGTTATGTAATAAAGCTAATAATATTATTATTGTTTTAGATACTGACATGTTCTTGGCAAGAGAAAGATAGTATCCAATTATGGGATTACGGTTCGTGCAAATTAATTGAAACTATTGTACCAGACAATTATCAATCAAAACTATATTGTGGTAAAATGGTACCACATACAAACTTGATTGTTTGCGGAGGATCAGACTCCAATATATTGAGAGTAGTGGATACAAACATGAAAGTCGTAAGTTATAAGTATCTAAACAACACTCTTATTATTTGTATGGTCAGTAATACTGACAAAACTCACAACATAGGTTTTATTTTCAGACCGAATGCTGTATAAGAAATAATCAAGGCAGCATTTACGCCTTTGATTTTGGTACAATCAGAAGAAAGCCGAGGAAAGTTACGGAGACTTACAAAAAAATAAGCGAAATACCAAATGTACCTCGTGTTTCGTTTGTTACTGGGAAAAGATTGCAGACGGTAGACTTTGGTTGACAGTTGACTAGCTGCCAGATGCTTCAGGATACATGTAAGCTATAGGCACCACACTCGAAGAATATGACCCTGTGGAATATTTCTCGAATACATTAATGTTTAGTGCATCGTATTATACTACCAAGTGAGTCTTGTTGATTTTGTCTAGATTGAGAAAGTTTTACAGATTAAGCTCTTGACATAACTTTACATTATTTGTTTTTTACAATAAACTTTGTCTTCTTTGCTCATTCTTATTAAATGTCGTTGTAAGCGTAGTTGGGAAAGGTCTCGCACAATAAACGCGGACGTAAAAGTTGTACATCAGTTGTATTGAATTTATTCTCCTTTTTAACATTTTTCTACTCACAAACAGCCGTTTATACAATTTTAAGTGATAGACAAATACACTGTGATTTCATTTTGTAAATATAGTATATAAAACTCTAGAAAGATAAAATATCGAGTTTGGCAAGAATTCATAATAAATAAAAAACATAAATACTTCTACATAGTATTATATACAGGATTTGAACATCTATTATTCGACCGATTCAAGTTGAGCCTCGTCAACGGATGGGTCTTCCCATGTTGCAATTGTTTTTTAGTTTGAGCTTTCGACATCACAGTTGATACCACCACTTCGCTGTAGTCGAGAGGAGCCAGCGACACTACCGTCGGAGCCGGAGGAGGTCGCTCCGCCGCCCCCCGCACCGCGCCGCAGAACGAGTTGCGCAGCGCAGACCGCGCCCGGGCCTCGCCGTCCGCCGCCAACTTGCACTTCTTCGATACAGACTCGGACGCGCGACTGCGCCTCGTCTCGCAACTGGACTCACAGCGCGCCCGACCCGGTCGGTCGTAGCGATTCACCAGCACCTTCACCGACAGGTCCTCGCCAGAGGGTGGAGAGGCGGGCGGCCGATCACGACCCTCGGAGGGAGTGGAACGACGCGAATCGACGCGGCGAAGCGCGTCGGTCTCAGAGCGTGCCTCAAACTCTTTTTTAAGGTTGCTAACGAGGCCCGTGGCAGGCTCGGCGGGCTCGGGCGCGGCGGGCGCGGCGCGCGGCAGATCTCCATGCGAGGCGCAGGCGGCGCGGCGGCGGCGCAGGCCGGCGCGCAGCCACGTGTCGGGCGCGGACAGACGGCCGCTCCACGTGGACGCGCCGCGGTCGCGCGCGCGCTCCATGCGTGCGGCGGCGGAGGCGAGCTCCTTGAGTATGGCACAGGTTTCGTTGAACTTCCGCACGTTGTCAGCGCGCCGCCCGCTGCTGCGCGCTTCGTTGTGCTCGCTGATGATGCCGAGGTCGGACTTCTGCGGAGCGAGTCCGGGTTCGGTGACCTTATCGCTGTCATCCTTACGAGCTCGCTCGTCGTTCCGTTCCTTGGGCCGCTTGGGTTCGTCCCGCGGCACCTGCGGCTTGGGAGCCCTAGTGTCGTAAGAGCCCCACGAGGAGTGTCGCGAGAGATCCAATACGACTGCGCTATCGAACGAGCTCCACGAGCTTTGTCTGCTCGGCGGTGGTGCGTCGTCATCGACGGCTCTCCTATCGTCGCTATCTAAATTTGAACGTTCTACAGAATTTGCAAGAGTGTCACTAGTTGTCACTTTATTGGTCTTCACGTCTATAATTCCACTGTCACTTTTCACTATATTATCACTATTGCTAATTATTCTATTCTCGTCGCCTTTCGGCCACGAGGCCTCCCCGGGATCCCAAGTGTGTATTTTATCCACTTCGAAGTTCGACTGCGCATATTTGTGACTTAGATTTTTGGAAGGCGAGACTTGCGGTGGCTTATTCGGTGTCTCTGCATGATTTATCGCGGTAACGGGAGCCTCAAGCGTTTTACTATTTTGGGATTCATTTTGGGTACCAAAATTTAACCTCTGATATCTTTTATTAAAATCTTTTCGGTCGCTCGATGCAGCATTCTCTATTTCATTGACTATATGTTTGACTGACGGTGCTCCCTCTTCTTTTAACCTCATGATTTGATTCGGTGAGACACTGTAGCTCCCGTTAGCGCAAGGCATGAGCATATGGCGGGTCTCGAACGGCAGGTTCTCGAGCGAGACGGAGGTGGGCTGCGGCGGCGGCAGTAGCTCGGCGGCGGCCTTGGTGTCCGGCGACCAGGACCGCGGCCGGCCCGAGTACGAGCCCGTCAGCGCCAACACTAACGGCGTCGGCTCCATCACTTTGCTTTCCGTTTTGGAAATATTTTTTGGAGATTTCAAGTTAGTCTCTGATTTAGATCGCTGTAATTTTTCCTTATTTTTCATCGCATCGAGTATACCTTGGTAAGTCTCAAGTTGGTTTAAAAAATTCGTATTCGGTTTAATGCAACTCCTTTTCGCTTTAACATGTTTGAGAGCCTTCTCAAAATTCCAATTGAACGCTTTCATGGCGTATGCAATCACTACAGATGCTGATCTACTAATTCCCATTTTGCAGTGAACAAGAACTTTCGACCCTTCATTTCTTGCTTTGTTTATATATTTGTATGTGTTATCCCAGTGTTTTAAAAGGTCAGTCTTCTCATCGTCGTAAACTCTTATGTTTAGATAGTCGAACATACCGGGAAAGAAATTATCGATCTCTCTTGTTACATTCAATATGTGTCTCACCCTGGAAAAACCAAATAATTGTGAATGTTAGTAATTGTTATAATAAAACGTGGTGAATAAGAAATATGATTTTCTGAAAGTTAAATGGCACAACAGGAATCCCCAAAAATATATCAAGAAAAAGCAAAAATTACTTCATAATTTGTATGCGTAAACTGATTAAACACACAACATACCCATTGCGTTGTAACTCTTCTAGATTGCTGGCGTTCCATTCGGAGCCGAGATAAACGTGGTCAAAGATCTCAGTGGGTGCGTCCATCTGTCCCAATATGGTGAGCATCTCCTGGTCGATGAAGGACTTGTATTCGGCGAGGTCCATGTCTAGTTCCTCCTCGAGCCGCCCTCTAATGGCTTTACTCGTCACTTCATCCAGATCCACGCTCATCATGATCTCTTTGAGTGTGCAGCGTATCACGCGTTCAGTCTCGTCCCTTTCTCGAGGCCTTCAAAGTAAAATACAGTTTATTTTAGTCGTGATTTTACTAAATCGTTAAATATATAAAAGGGGAATTTTTTACTGCATCTCTATTTAGAAGTTTATGCAAACCAAATTTCTCCAGTAGTAACCTACTGCATATCAAAAAAATAATATAATATAATAATAATAAATTTTTATTTGGAACAACATAGGAACCATTTTGTGTTAGTATGTGTCTTTTAAACTACAACTTAAACACTAGGGTTAGTAAGTAACAACTTTAAAAGATGAACCGTAAACCAAAAATACTGATTTGCACACTAATTGTCCAATATTAGGTTAGGATTGTTTTTTTTTTCACGACCTTAAAATTATGGGTAGGTTAGGTTAATACATATTTTGTTGGACCCGAAGAATTATTAGAGATACTTTTAGTTAAAAGATAGTCATTCAGTAAAACAGTTATGCTTTAAAGATCTAACAGTATAGTATAATTGATTTATTTGATGAGCAAATTTAGTGTGCAATTCACTATTTTTGGTGGTAATTTCGAATATTTTGATTGAAAAAGGGTATTTACAGTTAAAGTATTAAATACCCTGTATAAAAGCTGTAAAACATACAAACAGAGCTACTATTTCTTAATTTCCTTAGCTACTTAAACTACAACAATCTTTAAAAACGCAACCGTCATACATTCAGACTTCCATTAAAGAAGATATGAAAGAAATCCCATAGTAACCATGTAACGGTTCATCTTTGCATAAATGGACGTTAATTAGCACATTGGCGTGCGTTAGATCCTTTACTAGGCCAATAAACTAGGTCTAGGTAGAATATCATTACTGTATGTTTTACACGCAGTTGGAGAAGTTTAAATTTATTGCCGAGGCCGGAAGCTAGATAGATATACGATGCCAATTATTATTGGTTACATTGCTACTGAGTACAATCGTGTAGAAAACTCACTTGAGTCTGAGTGAATCGGGTGAAGGTGGGCGGCGGGACTCGATGCAGTCCATAGCATGCCACTCGTTGAGACAAGAGCGGTCCGAGTCCACGTGGCTCTCATAGAACGAACACCACGAGTGCGACGTGCCGCCCGCGAAGTGGTTCATCTCCCGGGCCTGTGCACTCGCACGATGGAGAGTTTGTAATGCTGACCTGCAAATATTCGTTGGACTTGCATTAATATCCTATTTTATTTTCTTCGCGCTTATAAATCATCAAAAATATACAAATAGCTCATATTTATCTCAGTTAATCAATGTAATGTAGTTATGACGTATTGCACCTATAAGCTTACGAAGTAACATATATGAGTTATTCTGTTATTGAAATGTAACTGTAGCTCAGCTCATACTCACCACATGGCCTGTACGGATACCGGCTTGAATATGTGTTGTTGATTGCACACACATACACTGAATCCTCTGCGGACAATGAATCCCTAATTAGTTATTGTTCTGGCCTTAGTAAAAGTATTCTGTGAGGAAAACTGTTTCGTGACATAACGGCCAGTTAATTGAGTGGGTCTTGCCTTTCTTTAGGTGTATATGACAAATGTATTAATAGTATGATGCATGCTACTGATAGTTAAAGACATTCAAGTATAAGCTATAATGAAGTGGTAGCGTACCCATCGCCATCCAACTTAATAGAAGTATCAGCAAGTACGCGCAGCACGAGTCCGACCGAGGTGCGCTCATTGCAATCGATGCCGAGCAACGCTGCCTCGTTGCTGCGACACACCACTACCAGGTATCTGGTGCGACCTGCGTGAGCGCTCTCCAGTTTCACCGCCTAGTGATAAACCAGAGTCGTGTGTTAAATAATGAAGTGTTAAACGAGCGAGGTATAAGTTCGAAGGTGTGTTACTGTACCATTTTGAGCGTTTCCTCGGGGCGCAGCAAGTAGAACATGGACTGCAAGTGATGTTGTATATCGGGCTGAGGGAACGCGCGCGCTGGCGATCGCCACGGGTTCGTACAGCCACGCTCTGCACTTCCCAGCACCACTGCTGCACCCTTATTCGCGAAGTAGCACTCATTGAGACTGAAACAATGAAACAACCGTTTTCATTATTTTATAGCAACTCAAGTAGAATATTTTATGTGGTCAGAATAGCGGTTGCATTTACAAACACAACCACAACCCAGAGGC